TAGAATAGAATAGAATAGAATAGAATAGAATAGAATAGAATAGAATAAGGATAGAATAGAAAATAGAAAAAATAGAATAGAATAAAGAATAAGGATAGAATAGAATAGAATAGAGAAAAAATAAGGATAGAATAGAAAATAGAAAGAATAGAATAGAATAGAATATGGAATGGAAAAAAGAATGAGAATGAGAATAGAATAGAATAGAACATAGAATAGAATAGAAAATTGAATAGAATATAGAATAGAGTAGAGTAGAATAGAATAGAATAGGAATAGAATAGGAATAGAATAGAATATGGAATGGAGAAAAGAATGAGAATAGAATAGTACAGAATAAAATACAGAATAGAATAGAATGGAATGTAGAACAGAAAAGAGAAGGGAACCTTCTCATTGGGCTTCCTCTCTTCCCCCACAGGAGCCAAAGGCTGCTGTTGTCCTCGTGATTGGTTCCCCATGAACAGCTTATGCTACAAGGTCTTTGAGGAAAAAAAGAACTGGAACAATGCCGAGGTCAGAAGTGTTTGTGAGCTTGTGAATCTCCTAGTTCGGGCAGAGGAGACGTCTAGTCAGGGCCTTGAGGAGCCCCCAAGCCCCCACTGGCTGGGCTGGAAACCCACCAAGGGAGACTGGGATGGGTGGGTGTGAAAAACCAGTAAGGATCATGGTTTTAGGAGAGCCTGAAATGCAAGTATCTGTGGAAAATATGGGCTTTCGTATAGATAGAAAGTCTTTCGTGGCCGGTATGAAGTGTTGAGTGAACAACTCGCTGAAAATAGACTTCCTGAGGTTTTGCCACCAACTCTGGCTGGCCTCTTCAGACATCTTGGGACCCCCTTGAGTTTGAAGTGAGTAAGGACCTGAGATTTTAATCAATGAATACATTCACGATTTATTTACAGGTGCCCATGTAAGGGACTGTTCAAGAGCTGCGGACTCTAGCAAGGACAACCTCAGGGGTCAAACAGAAACAAGATGGGTGGATAGTGTCAACTCGTAAAACATTCCCATGACTGTTTTTGAGTTGCCATAAACAAGGGGGGGGGGAAGGATCTGAAGGAGCAGTACGGCAGTTTAAAACCAGAAGCGCACCCCACTCTTATCTTGCAAAGATTGTAGCTAGGCTACCGAGTCATCTGCCCATGAAAATCCTTCATTGGAGAACGTGATTGATGACACCCAGCCCGTGAACAGGCTCAATTGGAGAATCTGATTTATGACACACCCAGGGGAAGGGGGGAAACAGGGTCACAGGGGACTGTAAATTATGTATCCCAGAGTTGGATTCATTTTGGTTAGTGCCGGCATGTTGCGCCTAATAAATCTTTTGAGGTTCTTTGAAGCTTGGCCCGTGGCTCAAGATTTAAATAGGGCTTGTTTATAATTATTCTCATCTAGTCTTCCTCCGAGATTTTATTATTTAATTCTTAATTAAACACACACACATAAGACATAAACATAAAAACATAAAACTTTCTTCTAGAAAGTAACTTGGCCCCAGATTACCTCTTTTTGTATGGACTTCAATTGAATTCATGCTCTTCTTATATACCATTACCTATCTTGTTTACCATTCTATAAGCCAGAGGAAAATATAAATGTGATGATTGAATAGCAGATTAATTAGAAAGGAAATATGATTGAATAATGATTAAAGAGAAACAATGTGGAATTTGGTAAAGGGAATTTACGTGTTTATATGGAAATGGGATAAATTATAAGTACGTGATATAAAACAATATGTTACCTGCCTTGTAAAGATTTACAATGGAAAGAGGTTTTATGTTTTTAATGTTTAATGATGTTTTGTCTTGTTTGTTTGTTTGTAAAATCAATAAAACTTGTTTAAAAAAAAAGATTTAAATAGGGCAATCGCCGGAACCCTGACATCTGGGACCTTTCAGGCAGCCCTCTGCTCTTTGCCATCTGCCCATAAGTCTGTTTCTCTGCTAAAGAAGGGTCTTTTTCTGTTCTTCGCCCAGATGTTCTGCAGGAAACACAAGCCAGGCTGCCACCTCGCCTCCATCCACAGCCTGGCAGAATCAGCTGACTTGGCCGAGTACATCGCTGACTATATCACAAAGAAAGACATCGTTTGGATTGGACTGAACGATCCACGGAAAGTAAGTCTCTTTCTGCTGATAATGTTCCCAAATCTATATTTCCCATTTCCAAGGGGCTTTTGGAAGGATCGTCCAATGGGAGGTGGGGACCTCTCTCGGATAAAAGCTCCTGCCTTGGAGAAAACCTCCAAGGGGGAGAGAAGAGAGGAAGTGGGAAGATTAAAGACCTAGAGACTAAAACACATGAAGAACAGTTGCAGGATTTGGGTTTGGCCAGTCTAGAGAAAAGAAGGACTTGGGGTCACAGGATAGCGGTCTTCCAATATTCGAGGGGCTGCCCCAAAGAGGAGGAAGGGGGTCAACCTATTCTCCAGAGCACCAGAAGGCAGGACAAGAAGGAATGGATAGAAACTAATGACAGAGAGAACCAACCTGGAATGAAAGAGAAACTTCATAATGACGAGGACACCGAATTAGTGGAATGGCTTCCCCCCCCCAGAGGTTGTGGGCGCTTCATTACCGGAGGTTAAGAAGAGACTGGACAGCCCCTTGTCTGAAATGGAATAAGGTCTCCTGCTTGAGCAGGGCGTTGGGCTAGAAGACCTCCACAAGGTCCCTTCCAACTCTATTTTGACTGAGAGAGTGAAAGAGATGATATATTTGCTCTGACTTGAAAACGTTCCACTCCAGTCTGGGCCCTGCAGAACCAGATCCTCCATTGACTAAGGTGGCTTCCCTGTCATTCCAGACGCGCTCCTGGGAGTGGTCAGACAGATCCTGCGTTGACTACCTGTCCTGGCAACCAGGAGAACCCAGCAACAGCGGTAACAACGAGTATTGTGTCCACCTCTATCCCCAAGCAGGTAGTGATGGTGTGCAAATTTTTTCTCTACTGGTTCTGTTGGCATGGCTTGTGGTGGTATAGCTTGGAGGGCATGGCTAGGTGGCCGTGTGACTGGGTGGGTGTGGCTAGGTGGTCATGTGACTGGGTGGGTGTGGCTATGTGGCCATGTGACTGGGCGGGTGTGGCTAGGTGCTTAAATATATATCAAACCGCTACTCCCCCCCCCCCTGCAGCCAGAAGAATCCCAGACAGTTTTAGTGCTTAGTATCCCTATCGAGGGTTTAGTATGTAGCAAAAGCTGTTAGACTTATATACTGCTTTATCGTGCTTTTACAGCCCTCTCTAAGCGGTTTACGGAGTCAGCCTCTTGCTCCCCCTAACAATCTGAGTCCTTCTTTTACCAATATCAGAAGGAGGGAAGGCTGAGTCAACCTTTTGAGCCTGGTGGGATTCGATCTGCCAAATTGCAGGCAGCCAGTAGTCAGCAGAAGTGGCCTGCAGTACTGCACCCTAACCACTGTGCCACCACCGTAAGCTTTCCTGATGTGCTTTGGAGTGCAGGAGAGAAGGTGCAGGTGAGGTTCCCAGCCTCGCTTGCACCATCCATGCTACAAGCAGAGTCCCGTGCTGAGAGTCAGGACAATCCCAGCCAACAATGATACAATTTGGCCAGGGTATCACGAGAGCAACCACAGCATGTCCATGCTCCTCTGCGCAAGCTACAATGTCTTGCCTCTTTGCAAGCCAGTATACTGGTTCCCACACCCATCATCCAAGGATGTCCTTAGCACATGATAAAAAAAAGGGTTTTTTTTTTCATATAACAGCCATATAAAACTCCATCCGGTTTTCACCTATAAAAGAGGTGGACTAAAAACTCAAACTCTTTCCTGCCCTCTTGTGGCTGAGCAGAGCTTGACAGGCAAAGCCTGGTTGCCGTACCCTGGTTTGTTGGATAGGTAAGCTATCTTGGTTACAGCAACCAGCTGAACCCAAAGCCCACGTTCGCACATGAAGTTATCCACCTGTGGTATCTGCGTGTCCCCCTGGAGATGAGGAAGGAGCCTCTGAAATGATCTCCTCAGACTCTGAGGGAGTCACTGCAAAACTTTTCCTTTTGCTGTCCAGATTACAAGAAGTGGAATGACATACCCTGTGACACCGCCTGTTCTTTCATCTGCCAGTGCAAATTCTAGTGCAAGTGGCTCCTCTTCCTGCTCCGCGTTGAGCGACGTGCCTGGTGAAGTCTGCAATGAAGCAGTGAAGTTCTGCCAAAATCTCTGCTCTGCACCCCTTCCCTTAAGGCAGGGGGTCCCAAACGTTTCTATACCCCGCATCCCTGCCACGCTTCTGATGCATTCTCACACCACTTAAAAAATAAATAATCATATGCATAGGATTTTACACATACACAATAATTTTTAATAGAATAGAATAGAATAAATGGAATGGAATGGAATGGAATAGAATAGAATAGAATAGAATAGAATAGA